TTTATACTTCGGAATCCCAGAGTGGAGGAATCCCAGTTTTTGATGCTGTGCTGCTCATTGGTGTTATTTGAATAGCTTGATAGCAGAATGATACCTGCCAAAATATAACTGAGCTGGGACATTAAGAGTTTTTAAAAGTTCTTTAAACATAGGTCATGGGCAGTTTTAAATTAATCCATGAAAAATCCCTAGTGTGAGCTTTAGGGAAATTATTTTAATAGTTATTTTAAAACCAACATCTCAAGGATTGAAACTAGTACCAAACTGCTAATGAACTGACACCAAGGTAAGCTTTAAAATAAAACTTAAACAAAAAATACACAAGAGATTTGTGTAGGAAGAGCAAGAGACAGTATCACAGAGGTATGTGTTTTTAATAAAGCAAATTGATGCTGCAACATGCAGTATTCGTAAAACTTATATATATATATATATATATATATATATAATTAGAACCAGAGTTCAAATATTTAAAGACAATATATATATACAATGTATTGATAAAACCTATCAACTGTACAGTCTATATAAAAAGAGCAGCTCCTTATCCCAGTCTGTTTTCCAATTGGAGAAAGTATCACAAAGCAATTTCCCAATATGTTGAGTCTGGAAGATGCAAACTTGGAGGGTTTAGAATGCACACCCCAGTATGTTTCAATGTGCATTCTTGCACATCCTTAAATGTTTCTGCCTTTGCTATATTAGATTGCATAGCAGAGACCACATATTTCCGATTCATCTATCACATGGATCTTCAATTGATTATAAAGTTGGGAAAAAGAAGAGGGAATTATGGGAGGTCACCATACAGGGTTGCATATCGTTTTATAACTCAGTATGTTAGTGATTGTATGCAACAGTGCAAAACAGAAAGGGGTATGGGAGTGGCCAAGACGATAGATCCTCTCACAGACAAATATGAGCATCACGAACTTGCTCATCTTTTAGTCTTTAGCTATGCATTCTTAGGAAAAATTAGAAAGGAGAGAAGGAAAACATCTAGATGGAAAATAAAATAAAGTTCTCCTCATTTCTTTAAAAAAATTCATCGCAATATAAAACCGAAGAAGCATTTACTCAGGGGCAAAATATTTTATTGTAGTATAAATAGGGAGCTTTCTGGGTCTTTAGGTTAGTAATATATTAAAATGCCCTGTGAAGAAAACCCACTGGGCTTCTCTTAAAAGTTGCTTCTCTCACTGAGGGAAATTTACAGTGTGTGTCAAATGAGGATACGCAAAGCTTATGGTATGTACTTTAAGCAATTTTTTTTATTTTTTTTCAGTTTAGGGACAAAATGGGTGAATGAACAGGGTAATGCAGACAACTACCAATTAAAAAAAGACCCTCCCTCCCAAAACACAGACAGTGGTTTTCCCAATAGAACTTAACAAAGACAAAGGAAAAAAATACAATAAAAAGCCAGGTTGCCAATGACCTTTGGTCATCTAAATAATAAAAAACCCAAAAAAACAAAGATCAAATTTGACGCCACTGTTCTCAACAGAGCGTGTAAGCAATAATAAATAGTGACTTCCATAGTAAAAGATAAAATTTCAGGTTACGACAAACAGCTTTCATTACAGGAATAGAAAAGGCTGATAATAACAAAATATTTTGCATTGCCATATACAAAAAAGGTATCGACTCCAGCGGGGCGCTCTCTCTCTCTCTCTCTCTCTTTCTTTAATATGCTTTGCATACGAAATTCTTTCCAATCTAAATATATAAAGCACCATTTTAATTTATTTTTCTTTTTGGCAATGGGGAAAAAAGCCTGCAAAACTTTATTTTTTCCTTTCATTCTATTTTAATTTTTTTTTCTTTTACTGCATATGAAGTTTAAGATGCTGGAATGTAAAAGGGTAAGAGAAGAAAAAGGACCAGAGCACACTACAGAACAAACCAACATCATCACCTTGCATTACTGCATACAATATGGCAGCAAAAAACAAAGAAACCCCAAAAGAACTTTGATATGTACAACCATCAGAGATGCTCATTTAGTGCGACATTCAAACAGATTTTTGTTCCCCCTCCCCCAAAACAGCCATTATATGGCCTCTTATCTGTACAATGTCACACTTTCCTTGTCGTTATTTTTTGAAACATACAAATATTTTGCACTATATTATCCTGCCAAATTAAAAAAAAATATACTGTGGCAGCCTATTTGTTTTTTTGTGTGTATGTGTTTTTCCACTACCAAAAAAAGGTAACTGATACCCTTTTTTAAAAAAAGAGAAACAAGCAACAGTTAAAAATACAAGCTTCATTATAAATACTATAGTGCCTACTCTAGGTGAACATTAAATTCAAATACCATTCTAAAAATTACAGAAAAAAGAGACCATAAATGTGTTTTTCTTCTTTTCCATTTGTTCGCTTTTCCTCTTCTTAGCATAGGAATCAACAGGAGTGTGCATTTTCCTATTTTTAAGTAGTATATATTGTTAAATCTTTTTCCAATGTACTTATTTTACAACCTGAAATGTTGTGTGTATATCCAAGGCATAGGATTTTTAACTATTGGTTTTCAATGAAGAACAGGTCTTGTACACCACCAAGACAATGAATTCTAAAATACATTTTCCCCTAAACATAATGAATTTTTTTTTAAAAAATCAGAACATTTATATTTTTAAAAGTTTTGTACAAAATAACCACTTCTTTGCACTGTAGGAGCAAGACCAATCTCTGTTTTTTTTTTTTTTTAACATAACTGCAGGACTTGTTCCCATTTACAGCGCCATAATGTTATGTCCCACTCATTAATCAAGTAAAATGGCAAGCTGGCAGAATTATTTATATGTTTATCATGAGATCATGCTCATTAAAAAAAACATTAATCTTGCAATTTTTCCCTTTAAAGTATAGACCTGTAAACTGGGAAAATTGTACAGTGCATTTAAATTGTCCTATCTGAGCAGTCTTAAAAAAGTTTTTTATACTCAACCTGTGTACCTCTGATTAAAAGAAACAATACAGACACGACAGGCAGAGTCAAGTGCTATGTGAACTTCCAGCGGGGCAGATGCTAGCTTAATCATAAAAGCAATGAATCCTTTTTTCTTGTCAATACAACTAGCACATAGCATATGATTAAAAAAGAAACAAAATGAAGAACAACTTTTAGGGAGCACTACTACTCTTTCTCTCTCTCTCAGAATGTCACACATCAAGGCAAAGCTTAATAGCTCATAGTTAATCATCATATCAATATTAGCTTATAACCTGTTCTTAATTTTAAATGGCAAACAGTGCTAATAAATCACTATATATATTTTTACACTTCAGTAAAACTTTATTGCCAGACTGTTTGTTTATATACCTTTCCTTATATAGAGGGAAATCATAGATCGATATATGATACACAGGTTTGTGCATTATTAATTTGATTGTCAAGTTGACAACCAACTACACCTGCGCTTAATATTTTCTGTTTTTACTGTTAAGTTTTATTTTGTACCAGGATCACTAAGAGATTTTTTAAAAAATCTTTATAACATGAATTTTCTTTCTCACGTACTTAATCATCTTCCAAGGCCTTCTGCACAAGTCACATTCTTTTTATCAATAAAATAATTTTAAAATGGAAATGAGGGGGAAGAGAAATGGAAGGGGAGGGACTGATACAGGTTAGTAATATTTTAACCTGAGAGAGAAGCATTCCCTATGATAATGGTGATTGTTTTAAACTCTCCTAGAGCAAAATAAACTTCAGTTCTACGATCACTCTTTTTTTAAAAAAAGGTGGACTGAGGAGGGGATCGAATGATGATTAACTAGGATTTGTTGGGTTTCTTTGTTTTTGTTTTTAGGTAGCCACTGTTGTGAAAAATATAATACAGAGTTATCGGCTAGGTCCTAAAGGACTCATTTACATTGCCCAGTGCGAAAGTTGTCCTACAAGTTTAGAACAAGTAGTTGCCACCAACATGGCTTAAATATATTCAAGGCACTCAGATTTCCATTTTAAACCAAATGATAGTACAAATTTATCGTTTTGCTCTCGTTTCCTCATTTTTCAATTAAAGACTTATCTCCCCACCAAAAATTAACTGATATTGTCAATGTTTTAAAGACAGAAATCAAAGTAACAAGGAATGTTTTCCCCTTTTCAGTGTTATCTGTCTATCCATATAGGGTTAATTCAAAGCACGCTTTCTTTAGCTGTTAAAACACAAACATGGATATGATATATTACAGAATGTATGCAGCATGGTTGGTTGTTTAAAAATACTTTTGCTTTTCTCTTTCTTTCTCTCTCTCTCTCTCTCTCTCTGTTTTCCTGGAACATCATTGGAAACAGTCATGGTGCTGTGCATGTGTGTGAAAGATCTTTTTGTCTGTTTGCTCAGCAAAGAATTTGGGGACATTTTTTTTTTTAAAAAAACAGCCATAACATACCATACATGCTGTCTAATTTTTTAAAAAATTAATAAACATACACAACATGTAAATTATTGCACAAGAGAAAGGCTCAAAGTTTGCGTAGTATTGCCCCAATACAGATCATGCATTCAAATGATGAAAACAGAAAAGAAAGGAAAAAGAAACAAAACAAAAAGGAAGATGAAAACAGGTGTGCTGGTGACAAGCACTTTCTGAATATCATTCTTAGCTTCCAATATTTTACTCACAAGGGACTAGAAAATCTCTACACAGGGGGCCAGGAATAAATTGGGGGAAGGAAGGAGAAGGGGTCAAGTTAATATACCTCTATTCAGTTTTTATGTCATTATTCAAGACTCGATCACTGTGCCATTTTTTCATGTGTTTTTCCAGGGTACTGTACACGCTAAAAGGCATCTTACAAATTTCACATTTGTAAACGTCCTTCCCCACCTGACCATGCGTTTTCATGTGCCTGGTGAGTTTGCTACTCTGGGCGCAGGCGTAGTTACACAGCTCACATTTATAAGGCCTTTCCCCAGTGTGGCTTCTCCTGTGGACAGTGAGGTTACTACAGTTCTTGAAGACTTTCCCACAGTACTCACAAGTGTCGCTGCGTCTGCCCTCTTTTGAACTAGGCCTTCCAGGGCCTGGACCACTAATATGCGGGGTGCTCCCTCCACTTCCTGTACCGCTGCGGCCTGATATCCCTCCATCCATCTCCCCGGGAGGCGTCGAGAAGCGTAAACTTCCATTTTCAGAGGAGTGTTCTGAGGAGGAAGCAAAAGGCGATTGTCGGGAGTCTCCAAAGTTGAGGAATGGATCTTTTAGCTGCCGAGAAGCAGCATACCCAGCTAGCCACTGGGAGTAAACATTTTCAGTGTTAGGCATAGCTGTCGTGGGAAGGTCAAACTCCTTCTCAAGTTTGATGCGTTTAGAAAAAGGACTTAGGGAGCTTGGGCTACCCAAGAGCAGCTTTTTGGACAAACCTCCGGAGGCAGATTCACCAGGGGAACACCCCCGACCATTAATAGCACCATCATCGATGCGATCAGATTCACCAGCTACTGAGTCTTCATCACATGTATCTCTATGCACCTCAGATTCAGATAAGTGCCCTCGTTTATGTTTCTCACCAAGAACCTGATGGAAAGCCTCACTGAAGTGCTGCATGGAACTCAGGACCATCCCTTGCATGACATCCGGGATAGAACGATTCTCCTCAATAGACCGGGAATTATTTTCATGGTGCCGAGCTGCTTCTAGATTGATGCCAAACCCATAGTCTGGCCTTTCATTTTCAGTCAAATCCTCCTCCTCTTCTTCTTCCTCCTCTTCCTCCTCCTCCTCCTCTTCTTCCTCTTCTTCATCCCCATTTTCTGGAATAATATTGGAATCATTCTCACTTTTAAACTTAGCCACGACAGATTTGAGGGCACTGCTAGCACTGCCAACAAGGTCACTGGTTCCGGGCTCTGGGGAACTGGCTGTTGAGAGGCCATCATCTGACTTCACAGTCATTGGGGAGGATTTGTGCATGTGTGTTTTCATGTGGCGTTTTAACTTGCTTGCTTGAGTGCATGCATGGTCACAAAGGTTGCACTTGTAGGGTTTTTCTCCAGTGTGGCTTCTACGATGGACAACTAAGTTGCTCTGAAATTTAAAGGTTTTCCCACAAAATTCACAGGACTTGGATTTGATAGGAGGCTGAGAAGGAGGAGGAGCAGACTGAAGAGGAGGAAGAGGAGGTGTTGCCAGAAATGGTGGCTTGCTGCCTGGCTGGAATGGTTGTAGTAACCTTTGCATAGGGCTGGGCCGGTTCGGTGACAATGGTGGACTAGAGGTGTTTCCAGCTAACTCCCTAAGCCGCCTGGAGAAATCCATAGCTGGAGGCTCCATGGCCATGGGGTTGAGTCGCAGCACCCTGTCGAAGGCACTGGGGTGATGGGTTGCAAGAGCCATTTCTTCAGCACCTAGGCGTTCTATGCGATGTGGATCCAAATGATGTCTTGGAGGGGGACTAAACAAAGGAGGTGTGGGAGGGAAACGCCCTTCTCCAAGACCTGATGCTTCTCTCGCGACTGACCCAGGTATTCTAAGAAGATTAAAAGGATTATTGTCTGCAATGTGAATCCCATGGAGTGGTGGCTGAGAAGGGCATTCTGCACCTAGTCCTGATGGGATACCAACCCGCGGTGTCAGAGGACTTCCATGTTCACTTTCTAAGTAGATTCTTAATCCATGAGTGTTCTGTGCATGTTGCAAGAGAAACCAGGCGCTGTTGAATGGCTGTTTACATGTTGTACACGTGTAACTGCTGGGTTCATCTTTACCTGTAAAACAACACAATGGTAACATCAATCTTTTAATTATCAAATTATTTCTAACATTAAAACAGAAGTTAATTTTTGTTGAATGAAATGCTAAATTGATCTACTGCTTAATTTTGGCATTTGTAGTGGCCATTACGTTACCTTCAAAGCCACCTGTATTTACTGCCATAATTGGTTCCTCTCAATTAGACAAATCCTCTCTTACGGATTTGTCTAATTTTGTTCTAAAGCCCCTGAAGCCAATGGCCATTTACTGAGGCAACAAATCCCATCAATCATTCTTCTGACATCTATGAGAGAAAAAGTCACTGCTTGTTTTCTGTATATCCTGCATAATGAATAACTCTGGTTTCATGCATCTAACCATCAAAAAAATTAGATACTTATCTCCTTAATACACTTCTTTGTCTACACTGTTAAAAAATACCAATTACTGAACCAAAGGTGCTTTTTCAAGAGGCAACTGGACTTCCTGGTTTTTCTTCGAAGATGTTTCACTTCACATCCAAGAAGCTTCTTCAGCTCCAAGAAGCTTTTTGGATGAGAAGCGAAACATCTTCAAAGAAAAACCAGGAAGTCCAGATGCCTCTTGAAAAAGCACATTTGGGACAACCATGACCTGGATGACTGAGATTCTCCATAGACATCAATTACTGAGTACTATATACAACCATCAACATCAACGGTTAAGCTCTTTGTCCTAGACCAGCATAAACATATTTATTGTGCATACAATCCTAGATACCTGAGAATAAGTCTCTTATACTGGGACTCACATGTTTGTGTAGCATTGGATAGTATAACACTACTAAGGATTGTAGTCTAAGCACAAAAATAGCATTAATTCAGCTACATTTTCAGTTAACTTCAAAAATTTTAATGAGACTAATTCAATATAAACTTTACACTATAAATTTGGTTGTGCAATGCTACAGATTTGGTTAGGAAGAAATATTTTGGATCATCTCATTAAAACAGTTGTGATTTCTTCCAGGATCACGTGACTACCGAGGGGACATTTCTACCACAATTGTGCAATTCTGCAAACAAACATGGCTACCTTAATTGTGACTAAATGTGCTGCTCTGGCTTATTTTGAAGCAATTTTCCCCAGTCAAATTTAAAATATTGCACAGCCTTAACTACAAAACTTACTTTAGAATAATTTACTATTATTTCAGTGAAATGTTGTTTAAATTTACAGATGCAGTCAACTGCACTTATGCTTACCTGAAACTATGTCCAACTGTTTTCAGTGGATCCTACTCTTGAGTAATTATGTCTACAAATAATTATTGCCTATCGTTGCTTTATAAGCACACTGACTTTAAAACAAATATTTTTGAAATAATATAGAACTAAATTCTGAGGGTTCAGATTGTTAATGACATAGGAGTAGAAATTAATTACTTTTCAGTTTTCTTTTGCAAACATATGAAGATTAAAAAATAAAAATCAATTCCATTAAAATATCCCATTATTAAGAGTGATTAAACTGTCAGAATAAAACTGTTCAAAATATATGATACAATAGAAGGTTTTTTTGGGGGGGAGGGGTGTTGAACTGACCTATAACATATACATTACCTCTGATCAAATGGCAAATTACATATACGCTAGGATTTTTGAAATAACAAGTTTAAATAAAAATATATTTCAGATAGTTTAATTCCCACATTTGACTGAAAAATCAGTCGTCTATCTAAATTTAGTGAGCTGAACAAAAGCAACTATTGAAATCGCAGTTTTTCTAGAAAATATTTAAGACTGTAAATGTGAATTTAATTTTTTTTTATATATATATATATAATTTGATTTATATGCCGCCCTTCTCCGGAGACTCAGGGTGGCTTACAATGTGCTCAGCAATAGCCTTTATCCTTTTGTATATTTATACAAAGTCAGCTTATTGCCCCCACAACTGGGTCCTCAATTTACCTACCTTAGAAAGGAGGAAGGCTGAGTCAACCTTGAGCCTTGGCGAGATTCGAACCTGCAGTAATTGAAGGCAGCTGGTCTTAATAACCAGCTTAATAACAGGGTGCCTTAGACCACTGTACTACCAAGGCTCTATTTTAAAATAGTTGCATAAGTTTTTTAAATATCTGAGTTGTTTCAATAAACATTTTAGTGGGCATCCCTCTACTTATTCTTTTTAATTTCATTTTTAATCTATCGTCCTATACAGAATTCCAAGTGCTGAACACAATTTCCCCCTTTTATATTCAGAATAATCCTGTTAGATAGATTAGGTAGAATGAAGGTAGCCGATGTAACATCTTCTGCTAATCCTTGGGACTGAGAAAAATTTGGACACTTCTGTGCCTGGTCTGATATCTCCTACAAGACTACTGGTTCTCAATCTAGAGCAGTTTAACTATCAATTAGCATACGGTTGACTGAGTAAATATGTGTGTGTGTGTGTGTGTGTGTGTGTGTGTGTGTGTGCGTGTGTGTGTATGCCTATCCAGCATCAACAAAATTTGTATGTGGTGCTCCTGTGTTTATACCGCAAGTGGCTAAAATAAAATGGTAAAAGATTGCTGGCTTGTAATCTATACCTATGTCTGTCTGTCTGTCTTGGGGCGCAATGGCTCAGCCGTTAAAGAAGCTGAGCTTGTCAGCTGGAGAGCTGACAGCCAGGATTCGAGACCCAAGCTCTACATAACAGAGTGAGCTCCCATTACTTGCCCCAGTTTCTGCCCACTTAACAGTTCGAAAATCAAACCTGGCAGAAATAAGAACAACTTCATCCTTGATGAGTTGATTTAACCCTTGCATCTAGTTTGGCAGTTCAGTTTTCTTGAATATTTGGGTGGTTTTCTAGGAATCTTTTTGATGTACTCTAATTTTTTTTTTTGCCTTAAATTATTTTATCACTGTTTTCCTCGTATTTCTTATACAGTAGTGAACAGGCATCCTTAAATACAACAGTGCAGAATATGGAACCTATGGAACATCATAAACTAACAATTCCTCTGGTAAGGAAGAGATTAACAGAGAGGAGTCCAAAATCTTTACAAGGATTGGGGGAGAGGTGTCCGAATATACAGTCCCATATTCCCAGCAAATTTATCTTGAAGGAAAAAAAATGAAATCTGCCTCTGCTGATTCCATTAATCTTGTCCAGTAATGCTGAGGACACAGTCCACACACAAATATTATGAAACCCTGATATACATACTCAAATAACTAAGAACATGTGTCTAAGTTCATACTTTACACATTTCCTGAAAAAAGATTTTTGTGTGAACATAATTGCCTCATAAACATAGAACTGATGGAGCAGAAAAGTGCAGCCTGAACAAGGCCAACTCCATCACTGTGTGAAATGAAGCAGATATTTGAAGCTGCAGATGGGCAGAGCCTACTTCCCACTTCCTGTTCTCTCAACTGGCTGCCCACAGCAGTCTTTTCATTTCGTCTAAGACAGGAGTGGGGAACTACAGCCCTTTTTTGACTTGTGGGCTTCAACTTCCAAAATTCCTGAGTCAGCCATATAGGGGCCATATAGACCTCCGGTCTAAGATAAGTGGATCTCAGGATGGTTTACTGTCCTACTAGTTTCCCTATAGCCACTGCTATGAGATGGACCTCAGAATGACACATATGAGGCATCTGTAATATTTGTGGATAGTCAACATGGCCACCTCACAAGGTCACTTGGAAGACTCCTTTAGAATGATGTATAAAGAGCAGTTGGTCCTGGGTGCAACACTGCTGCTAAGGAAGAAGTCTATGAGAGCAGCAATTTCTCTCTGTTTCAGGGAGAAGGCCTTCTGATGTTACAACTGAACCCAAAGGCTGTACACAGTCCTCTGCTCCTGCAGGATCTGACTCTGCCAACAGCCAGCATATAGTCCCTGGCACTGCTTCCCTATAGCAATAACCACCACAACATAAAAAGGGTCCCCCCAGTTCTGTAGTTATAAAAATGCATCTGATTATTAGGGCATAGTCCAAAGTCTATTTTCCAGCAATTCTCCATAGTGTAAAGAATTTGCATTACAGGAAACACCTTGGTTGAAATCGTTAAAAATATGCTACTCAGAACAGAGAATGTTGAGCAAGAGATGCCAACAGTTAAAATCTGTATAAAGTTGCAATATATGAGCTGATTGTGAAGTTGATGACTGGATTGTTTTAATAATGCATAAATTGCTAAAAGTTACCAGGTAATAGTGTATGTTCATGTGAGGAAATAAGAACATGTATTTTGTCGAATGCCCCTACAAATGCATATTGTATTAAGTCTTTGAAGAACAAACTAGATTTACAATGGTATTTGACTGCAATATGTACTTCTGTAATGACCTGTAATTTACTTTACATCAGTATTTATACTAGCACTCAATATAGCCCACTTGTGCAAACCTTACAAGATTAGACAGTAAATGCCAAAATGAGGTTTTCATACACATGCTTAATATATGTGCAGGTAGAGGGAGAAAAACATGAACTGGATGGATTTGATCTTCATTGTTCTTGTTTTTCTCCTTATTTCAATGATGAAAAAGCAAAGTCTTATAAGGGGATTTTCATTATCTAAGGTACTGAATAAATAACTTTGGAAAACTATGCGCAGGCAGCATTACAGCAACATCTACTGCAACTAAGAATGAGTGTGCCCCCCCCCACCAACCTTCTTCAAGTTTCAGTTTCTCTATTATTATATATTTAGTTTGACAATTTAAATTGGGTGATTTAAAAAATGAGAAAGAATCAGACACTGCTGACAGGTATTTAGCATTTTGGTTGCTTAAAAAAGCTTTTGAACAATATTTAACATTTCATTATTTTGCCAATTCCAGCATTTTAATGAACCACGTGTGGTGTTTAGCACAGGGGCATTGGAGACCCTGGCAAATAAAAGGATACATCTTCTGAAAAGAGAGAAACATGAGTGTGATTCCCATAAACTTGTTGGTAAGATTTGGGCAAGGCTCTAGATGGAAATTAAGAAGAGCAATCTTAAAGTTATGGAACACAGTGCGAAGGCA